CACGAATTTTATTTTCCTTGTTGTGGAGTACGCCTGGACAAAGGAATTGGCAAGCGAATCGTTTTGGTCGCATTGAAAATTGCAAGTGCACAAGAGGATTGGCGAAGCAATTTGTGTTCGCACTTTCAGCAGAGCAGTAGCTGCTGCTGCGATAAAGTTTTTGCTTTCGCCATTGGTTTCAGGCAGCAGAAGGATCTGGCTGAAAGCGATGGCGATACGTCCATGACCACCACGTCCTGGGTTGATATCCAAGAAAGACCGTCCAAGGTCCAGTTTTAGCCAAGAGCTGTCGTATCCAAGAAATCAAAAACGCCAACAGCAAGCTTTGGCCAAACAATATCTTCCAGGCAGTAATTTACGGGCCTAGCGCCTGCTGCCTCGTCTTCCTCCTCTGCATGACCAGGTTTGGGGCGAAATGAACGCACGGGGCGTGAAGAAACATTCCAAAGGCAAAACATTCAAAATTTGAACCAATCGTTTCCAAAGAAGCGCCGCGTGGCTACGAGAAACCCCACATGAAATCCCCAAACGAAAACGGCCGTTCGGTCGGGTATTCAATGGCGAATCGAATATACACTACCTCAATCCCCGCCGATCTCTGATATTCTCCGCCTATTCCCTCAAACTTGACCAATTCGGAAAGAAATCCATCGCCATTACGATCGTGCATCCTCCACATACATTCAGAAATGCTCACGCAGCACTTCTTTTCATCGCGTGTGCGCGACCGACGCTTCCATGACAACTCTGGGACAGGTAACCAATCAGTCTCATTCAGAGTGCGATGTCCTAGATAGGACATCTCCTCGACTGGTAACAGCGGAATGAGACTTGTTTGATTCATTGCTGTGTAATATGTGTATCTCTCTATCTATCTATTTATCTTTCTTTCTCTCTATCTATTTAGGGGTCGTCCGCAATTATCGAAAGTTTTTTCCAATCCGTAGTAGCTTCAAATTTTTCCTCCCCAGTCCGTAATAAAATATTATTGATGGACACACAACCCAACACATATGGAACAAACTCGTCCATTCCTTTTTCGCTTCGGCAAAGAATACATCCTTGTTCGTCGTCTTGGACAACTGCCACAAGCAATTTATTGTTCTGTAATAATCAGAGTCACCAGCGGTTTTGAAAAAGGGCTGCTTCTTCACCGCCTTTCCAAACAACGTCGCCTGTCTGGACATAGTCAATAACAGTCGTCAGCGCCAGCGCTAGATGGAAGGACTTCAAAGGAGTGCATGGAAGACGGTACTCTGGACGAAGGAGACAGTGAAACTCAAAAATAGAAAGTGTCGACTCGCCGTAGAATGCGCCGAACTTTATGATCCCCGGCCCAGGAGCAGCCAAGGAAGCGCGCGCGTGGGCGCAGAAACTGCCAGAACTACAAAAATATTTGTAGTAGACAGTTCGCGCGCAGCCGCGCGTGGAAAACAGGGGCTACACGTAGACGTACACGTGGCACGCGCACGTGTCATTTCGGAAGTTTTTCAATCCGTAACTGTCCTTGACCCACCCACCCACTTTCGAAGCTACTACGGATTGGAAAAAACTTTCGATAATTGCGGACGACCCCTTATCTATCTATCTATCTTTCTCTCTATCTCTCTATCTATCTATCTCTCTATCTCTATCTCTCTATCTCTATCTCTGATACGTTACTATTTATTCGTGAAGACTTGGGAACGGAAACAAAACATGTCATGAGAAAGAACAACAGGAAAAAGAAGCACACTCAACTAATCTGTGTGTGTGCGTGCATGCAGTACAACTATGACGTAATGAATATAGATACACATCACGCCCCTTCGAGATGTTGCGAAACCTGTGACAGCAACATCTATCATAAATAAAACAAAATGAAGAATGAAAACAACAAAGCAGAGACAGCAGAAATTGACATTAGTGATCAAGAGTGTCAATCATAGGACTGTCCATGATGCGAACCAATGTTTAAACGCTGGGGTGGCTTGCGCTGACGTGCGCTGCGGCGGGACGGCGGCGGCGGGGAAGAGGGGTCAGCAGCAGCCGGTTGGACAACAAGCGGTGCAGGCACAAGTGGGCGATACGGACGCAGGAATCTGCGGTTCCGCCAATAAATGCGACCACTCGGCAACTTCACTAGGTAGTCCCGATGATTACCGACAGCAACAATGACCCCACGAATAGACCACTGCTTGGTGCGCGGATGCTGAACATCCACGTGGGTGCCGAGGCGGAGCTGCGGCAACGAGCGACGAGTTGACGACTTGTCTGTGACGGAATCGTCGGATGGCATGGCAGTCTCATCACGTGTCGTCGCTTTGGAGAGCCAGGATGAATCAAACTCCTTCCAATGTGCAATGACGAATGACTGGAGAGAGCGGCCATATAGGAGCTCAGCGGGGCTCTGACCAGAGGAGCCAGGTGTGTTTCGCCATTCCAGTAGCCCTCGGCGGAAGTCATCTGTGTCAAGATTGCCATTCACGGTTGTCTTGGTGATAAGACGCTTCATGGCTTTGACAGCAGCTTCGGCGTGCCCATTACTCTGCGGGTAGTGGGGAGAGGACATGACATGGTTTACCTGCCAGCGCTTACAAAACTCAGCAAACTTATGCGAGGAGAACTGGGGACCACCATCTGTACACAGCACAGCAGGAACACCAACATCAGAGAACCAGCGACGGAATGCGAGTATCACGTCATGCGATGAGGTGGTGCGGCCAGTACGCGCGACACAGGGCCAACCGGTCAAACGATCTGCATACACAAGAAAGTCGTGACCTTGACAAGTGAACAAATCGGCAGATGCACATTCAAACGGGAGTGTTGGGGTTCGGTCGTTCAGCAGGGGCTCAGCTGGCTGGGACGACTGGTGTTCGCGGCAAGCAGGACAAGAACGAACGAGTGTATCAATGTCCTTGGTGATACCGGACCAGTATACAAGCTGACGCGCACGAGACTTAGTACGCACTAGGCCTTGGTGTGAAGCGTGGAGGTTGTGCAATACCTGAGCACGCAATGATTCAGGAACAACAATGCGGTTGCCCTTCATCACAATGCCATGGTCGACGGAGAGATGCTCACGTCCATTCCAGTACGCACGTAACGGAGCAGGCAACTTCTGCTGGCGATCAGGGAATCCAGTCAAGATACACTCAATCAATGACTGGTACGTGGCATCTGCAGCTGCAGCTTCCCGCAGCTCTGCAACCTTGAGATTCGCATTCGGCTCAGTGTCCGAGTGCACCATGCAGATCTGAATGCTGCGGCAATGAAGCGACGGGGCTTCACCAAGCTCATCAGTGGTGGACGGAATGCCAACAGGATTCCGGGACAGCGCATCGGCGAAGGCATTTTCAGAACCTTTTCGCCAAGATGCCTGCAGCTGATAGGCTTGGAGCTTGAGGCGTAATCGTAGAAGACGCGGGTTCTCGATCTGATCCAACGAATATGAGTTGATGATCGGAATCAGGGGCTTGTGGTCGGTGACGACTTCAAATGGCGCACCAGACAGGTAGATGCGGCATTTGCGCACGGCCCATACTACAGCGAGCATTTCCAACTCGATGACAGCATAACGTGTTTCAGCATCAGACAGGTAGCGGGATCCACACTGAATAATACGCCACTGATCATTCTGCTTTTGCCAAAGCACGAATCCGAGACCTCTTAGAGCGGATGCATCGGTTTCAAGCCGGAGGTCTTGACCAACTTGATAGAAAGCGAGAACCGGAGGAGACAAGAGAGCTTCCTGTGTCCGTTCAAACGCTGCAGTGTGGCTAGCGTCCCACATGAACTCACGGGAGGTCTTGAGCAGGCCACGCAGAGGATTGGTCAACTCGGCTAGATGTGGAGTGAACTCGCCACATTGGTTCACTAGACCGAGGAACGAACGGAGATCGGTTCTGTTGGCGGGTACTGGAAACTGGCGAATACCGGACGTCTTATCATCGTCGACGACCCAGCCATCAGGCGTGACGTTGTAGCCGCAGAAATGGATACGTTGCGTACCGAACACAAACTTGGCGGGGCTGAACGTGATACCATGCTCCCTGGCGCAGAGCAGAATCTCGCGCACGTGGCTGACATGCGACAGAAAGTCGTCGTCGTACGCTAGGCAATCATCGACTACCTTGCCGAGACGCGGGATGGCAGAGAACGCAGCATCAGTGCGCCGGTTGAACTCATCCCCAGCAGATATTAGACCCTGCGGGTTCCGTAGATAACGATATCTGCCGTACGGGGTGATAAACGTGGTGAATTCCTGAGCAGTGTCACTGAGAGGAATCTGCCAGTAGCCGTGCCTTGCATCGAGCTTCGTAAAGAACTTAGCAGAGCCAACTCCAGAGACAACGTCACGTGCCGTATGTACGGGATGCGCGGGACGACGGACTTGGTCGTTCAGCCGCTTGAAGTCAACTGTGAGGCGCTTCTCAGTGCTGCCCTTCTTGTCTACTATGACAATCGGATGGCACCATTCACTGGGCTCCGTCACTGGTTCAATAATCCCGTCGCTGACCATGCCGTCGAGCTGAGTCTTGATCTGGTCACGGAATGCATACGGTATTGGTCGAGCAGTGTGCACACAGGAAGGCTTAGAATCATGCTGTAGCTCAATTTCCATTGGCGGACCTTCCATTGGCTTCAGACCGGAATCCGAGAAAACGTCAGCGAACTCTTGCAGGAGCTGCTCACGTGTTCGCGCTAACTCAGCATCACTAGGATGAGCGCATGACGAAACAGCTGCACAGATCTTGGGTGAAGATGCACCCTCGTGTTCAGCGGTGAATTGGACTGGCCAATCAGGTGGGAGAAACTTCAGCGCACGCAATGAGGTATGAGAGAGCAGGGCATCGTGTAGACCCTTGTACACATGGATGACGGTTTCATGCTGCGTCTCACCGACTCGTAGAGTCGCACGTATCTTGCCCAGGTTGCGTAGCGGCTCACCGGTCACAGCCTGCACACAGTCGTGGTCGTCATCTAAGTTCTCGACGAACCCACCGATCTGCGTGAGGTGCTCCTCACCAATGGCATCAACGTCGCTGCCTGTGTCTGGTGTCCAGGACAGTTGGGATGGCTGATCCTCTGTTTGCAGCATGGTCGAAACAGGTACTGTGCGACGGTCCACGCGAGACGCACGCTGTAGCTTCAGCTGTCCAAGCTTGGCAGCAGAGCTAGTCTTCGGCTGTTTCTGGCTCTTGCACATTCGCTGAAAATGCCCAATGCCATGACAGGAGTTGCACTTCTTGCCCTTGGCAGGACATACAGATTTCGTGTGGTCAGAACGACCACAATTTGGACAAGTGGACTTGGTCGCACTTGACTTAGAGTCAGCTGGCTTGTGACGTTTCTGCTGCTTGTACGCCGACTGCTTGGCAGCACTTGCCTGGAGGCCAGGACTGGGCATGTGTGCCTTAGTGTGGTATGCTGCTTCCTCCGTCCGACAGAGGGTGACAGCCTGGTCGAGCGTGAGACCATGAGTTGCGAGCAACTTGTGTCGCGTCTCATCGTTCCGCACACCAATTACGACGCGGTCGCGCAGAGATTCCTCCTTGAGGGTACGGCCGAGGCCTTTGCACTGCGCACAGCAGCGAGCATCACACGTTCCACATAGGCTGTGAGACAAGAAGTCGCATGCACTTTGTAGTTCACACAGGGCTGTGTAAAACGCATCAAATGATTCTCCAGCTTGCTGGACACGCTGGTAAAACTCTATGCGGTCCAACAGTGGGTTACGTTGCCGTCTGATATACACCTGAATGCGCTCCAGCATCAGGTCAACGTCAGCTGAAGCTGGTATGCAAATAATATCCTCTCGGATAAAACGTCGCAGCTCCTCATCGAAACACTGACGGAGTGTTGCCACTCTGGCCTCACGAGCCTGGCTGGCCAAATGCTGGCAAACACTAAAATCTCTCCAGCTTTCAACGAAGGAGTGAAAATCAGCCAGCGTCGCAGACGACAATAAGTGTGGGCAGGACACACTGTTCACTGGCCGTGGTGCTGAGGTCTGCGAGGTGGACAGAGCTGGTGCTGAGGGCTGCGGAGTGAACTGAGGCTGCGATGGTGATAGCGACCTGCTCTGAACATTCTTGAACAGATCTTGCATCGCCTTATCACGAGCCTCAGCTGCACGCATCTGCTGCTCCATAAATTTCATCAGGACACCCATTTGAGATTCCTGCTGTCGCTCGGTCGCGGAGGACAGGTCAAATCCGGTATCGTCCTGTGATTGTTCCATTACGATTAGTCACTCGTCCACGAGTACGAACAAATACACTACTAAAATAATTCAACTGAGACAGAGTTTCGATCGCGGAAACTACTACTTCATACGGAAAAAAACAACTGGGCCCGTGCAAACACTACAAGGTGCGGACACAAGGCACGGACACAGGAAAGAACAAGTTCACTGCGCCATGATACGTTACTATTTATTCGTGAAGACTTGGGAACGGAAACAAAACATGTCATGAGAAAGAACAACAGGAAAAAGAAGCACACTCAACTAATCTGTGTGTGTGCGTGCATGCAGTACAACTATGACGTAATGAATATAGATACACATCAATCTCTATCTATCTATCTATCTATCTATCTTTCTTTCTTTCTCTCTATCTATCTATCTCTCTCTCTATCTATCTATCTAGCTGTCTCTCTATCTATCTAGCTATCTCTCTCTCTCTCTATCTATCTATCTATCTATCTACAGTCCATTCATTGGAAACTGGCACCCTAACTTTTTGGTGTCTCTCTCACATAGTTTTAGATATCGTGAAAACAACAGTACATCCTGCATTGTGTGACCCGTGCAATTACTCCTTGCCACATTTGAGGCCAGAAAAGTCCAAGAACAGGGAAATAGAAATTCAGCCAGGTTTTACAAAATTAGGACAGGTATGCCATGGCAAAATGTATGGAGAAGCAGATCCAAAACCCAGATTTTTGAGATTTAAAGTGGGTTTTTGATCCTCAATTCGGCCCAAATCCGACTTTCAAAAGCCAGCGGGCCAGTTTCCGATGAATGGACTGTAGCTATCTATCTACAGTCGTCGCCAAAAATCCAGCCAATGCCATGGATACGCGTACATAGGTATGGTAGCTACGCGGTACTTCATCGCGGGTTCGAACGTTCATGTACTGGAGTGGCACCATGCATGCACTACAAGACCACTGGACAGCACTGAACAGTCTGCGCTGCCCTCTGCCTGCTGCAGTCGGGTTGAGCACTGTGCTGAGTGTATGCGGGCCTAGCCTGTCAGCATGTGAACAGTGAACTGTGAAGTAACTGAACTACATGTGTAGTCTGAGCCACTACCACTATGATAGCAGTACATGCGGCCCATGGGGCCCAGTACAGCTACCGGTAGCTAGCATTGCACTTGGCCGGATTTTTTTGGCGACGACTGTATCTATCCATCCATCCATCCATCTATCCATCCATCCATCCATCCGTCCATCCATCCATCCATCCATCCATCTATCCATCCATACATACATACATCTATCCATCCA